AGCATACATAGAACCGGTTCTACGTCTGCTGCTGTTTTGGCCCACCCGCCCGCCCGGGCTCTTACCTGACCTTTATTTTCTGCGTTTTCAACCGCAGCTGCTTTGTGCGACACAGCTGCGGTTGAAAAAGCAGGAAAAAAGTGCTTTTTCAACTGCTGCGCACCCACGTGCAGTGCTGCTCAGCTGTCCAGGCAGCTAGATGATGATGATATACAGCGCGCAAAATCACCGAACCAGTAGTTACACCGGTCGGATCCCACCCCTGCACAAAAAGGTGATCATGTGACCCAGGTTCACTGTAACCATCATAAATATTTGTCAGTTTCCAAGTGTCTGAACTTTGATCATGTGACCCTGGGTATGTGCAACCGTTGTAAATGTGAAAAAATGTGTTATAGGTCACTTTTTCTAAGTGCTGCTGTAACTTTCAACAGTCACTAAATAAAAGGTTGAAGTCAAGAACTACTGTACTCTGCATTGCTTTAAAGACTTTATTTATTTATTTAATTTATTTATATTGCTGCCTATTCGCCCATGGTGACTCGAGGCGGTTTACAGAATGTAAAACCATATTTTATGGTCCTGAAATGTCTTACGTTGACAGGAGTATGTATATTTGGTTATGGAGAAAAGAAAGTTTGTGTTGAAGCTTAAACCAATCATCATGTTTTTCAAAAAGATGCATTAAAACTTCCTTGTGCAAATAAGTTAATAACTTACTAAATTTAAAGAGATACCATAAACAAAGTAAGTTAATGCATATGTAAATGATACGTTATGCAATAAAAAGAATTACTACATAAAAGAGTTTTCTGGACAAAATGTTCTTCCATTATAGTTTGGGAAGATAACATATAGCCTATGACAGCAGATAACCTTTTTAATCACTTTAAATGCTAGATGCTTGCAAATAGCAGTAAAAATACTGTCTTGCAACACTCTCTTTAACAATTATGAGGTTATGGAAAGCTACTGTGGGAAGGAAGATGTTGAGGAGAAGGGAATTGTCCAGTGAAAATACACAAGCACAAAGCAGAATATCAGGAATACTTCGACTACTATAATATCAGATCTATTTTATCTCAGATCCATACCCTTTCTATCGATTTTCCCTCTTCCACCCCCAATTAATTTACCAGTGTAGCCTAGATAAATTTCCTTATTAACCTTGTCTCTGGGGTAGAAGGCATTTTGTAGAGGAGGCAGTCATTCTTAGAGATGACAGCGAGTTCACAGTCACCTCACCCTTCTGCCCACAAGTCAGAGGTGACATTGTTTTGAAGTTACTGAAGTAGGAGTAACTGGAAAAGTACATGGTGGCTGTGTCCGTACAACATGATAAAATGAAATTCAGTGCACGTTTTCTTCATATACCTAATGCGCTGTGCCACAGATAAGCACATATTATGACTTACAATAAGGACTAATTTACACAACATGATGAAGTAAAAGGCTGACCTTACAGAACACACAGAACCACAAACTACGCAATCCAGTTTATCCTGTGCAAATCCAGAATTGGCTCCCCCCTCCCACACACACACACACACATTTCTGTATTGCTCTTTATATACAAAATACAGATAGTCTCGAGTTATGATTGTAATGGAGCCTGGGCATTATGGTCACAAGTCATGATAGTCGTTCAGTGAAGAAGCCATGTGATCATCTTGCATAATGGCCCCCACACATGCACTCCCAATATACTAGCAAGGGGAGGGGAGACCCCAGGAGGCCTAATCAGATCCAAACTTGCTTGCTTCAGGCCTTCCAAAACTTCCACTATCCCCTGAGGCACTCCATGCCCTACTTTCCACCCCTTAGGATCCTTGCAGGCCTTGGGCCTTCTTCCCCATCTCTGGGCCTGCAGACCAGAGGTGGTATTCAGCAGATTCTGACCAGTTCTGAAGAACAAGCAAATACCACCTCTGACTGGAGATTTTACAGTACCCTTCCCCTGCCACGCCCACCAAGCCACGCACACAGAACCAGTAATAAAAAAAAAATTGAATCTCACCACTGCTGCAGACATTTGCTTCTCACTGGGCCATGCAGAGAGGCTCCTCTGGCTGTGTTGGAAGCAGGCTGAGGCTTGCAAGCTGCAATAGCCTCACAGGACTCTGTAGCCTCTGCAACTGGCTTGAGGCTCCCTTAGGTGGCTGAGTTGGGAGCAGGACAAAGGCCTGTAGGGATCTGGTGAGGTAGTATGGGCAGCGGAAACAGGCATGGGGGAGCAGTGTTGCAGCATCCCAGTGATTGGTGCAATGTTGAATGACCATATGGGCACTATACTAGTCATAACTTTGAAACCAGATGATAAGTAGCTTTGGGGGGGAGGTCTATCGTAATTTCAATTTGTCGCTAAGCGACTGGTTCTACCTGTATTAAAAGTGACTAATTAATAACTAAAAAAATGGTGCCAGGGGCATAGTTCCTATCCTTTCAAATACAGTGGTATTTAGGTATTCGTTAATTGTTTCCCGGAGACACAATGAGTGCTGAAAGCGGCTGATACCAAACAAACCATATGACTAATGCTTGACCTTGGGTAGTGAGTCACAAGGCAACTGATACCAACAAGTTTCTAGCTTGCATGTTGAGTATCAAAGAAAGAGTACCAGGATAAAATGTTTGCATCAAAATGCGTTGAGGAACAAATTCAATGAGTTTTCAAAGCAGTTGAGTACTGAGGTACCACTGTATAATCACCTTTAAGAGAGCAAAATATTGTGCAAAAGTCAGGTATTTTAATTTAAAAACAACAAATCAATTAATCAATTTAATTTAAAAACAACAAAGATTTTTTTAAAAAATCAACCTACCTGTAGGTGGCACTGACTTTTTCATTTATATAGACAAAGATTGGATTTAACTTTCTGATATAGGCATAACTAACCCGCTTCTTAACCAAATCATTGGATTATATCAGAAATCTAAAGGCTGATGAGAGCTGATAAGGAAGCATCTTGTTTGTTGATGCATAAAATGTGAAATTTTCTGATCCCTGGCAAGTGATACAGTTTATTATATTAACATTCTTCTATTTGTTGCTTTAAAATGAAAAGCCAAGATAAAAGCGGTAAATTGAATGAGTAAATCAGTGATTTCAAAATTCAAACCATGTGTATGAGGGATTTTGGAGTTGGAGATAAGATTTAACTTTGCAATGTTTATGCAATAAATCCCAGAAGTTAATCAAAGTTGAATAAAATGCATTGCTGAATAGGAAAGAAGGCAATGATGATCCTCTTTCAATGAAAGAGAAAGGCAATATAGAAATGTATCAATACTAAGTTTATTTGTTTTCACTGCATTTATGGTTTTATTCTGACCTCTTGTGGTGTTCTATCAGTAATACATGTGATCATTTCCAGTGTTCTGTGTGCCTTGTGAAATATGAATGATACTATTAATATATTTGAATGTGCATGGATCATTCTCTTTAACACATTACCTCATGGAAGCAGGAACTAAATCAAATGTGAAAGTAATTTTTCAATAGCAAATACAGATTGTGGAAAAGCAGATTAATTGTGTTTTTAGAGACAACGTTCAGATAAGTTTAAGAATGTTAAAGCCCTTATATAAGGAATTCCTAGGCTTTCAATACTGCTGCAGAATCTATAATATTTCTGAGTTATAATTTATCTGAAGTAATAAAACTGCCAAATGCCCAATTTATATAAGACCAGAAACATGGACATTTTTATGTATTTGCAGTACTTTGCTTAGAGAGCTTATAAACTCTGAGTTTCATTATGAGGCCCTGAATGACCTTTGCTGGGCTGAGAATTGTAGGTGTCACTATACATAGTTGTGTATATTTAGTGTTATCAGGACCCAGACTATCCTTTATGAAGAAAGAGAAATGGAGACCTATCTTTGCAGTTTAGATCAGGGATGTCAAATTCAAGGTCTGCAGGCTGGATCCAACCTACAGAGTGGTAAGATGTGGCCTGTGGGGCCGCTCTGGAAACAGTGAAGGACGGGCCCGTGGTGCCTCTGCCAGCAAAAACTGAGCTCAGGAGGGCCGTGTGCAGCCCTCCCAAGCTCTCTTTTCACTGGCAGAGAGTTGCAGGAGGCCTTTGCAGCCCGAAATGGAACTCTGGAGCCCATTTTTGCTGGCACAGCGCTCGGTCCACCATAGGTGCCCCGACACAATTGACATCAAGCTGTCCACACCCAGCCCAGCCTTCTGAGGTCAAACACAACCCTAATGCAGCCCTCAATGAAATTGAGTTTGACACCCCTGGTTTAGATCATACAGAGACAAGTTTTATGTTCAATGTAAAGTGACTTCTTATTCTAGAATTTATGGCTAATATGTATTCCTACCACTTGATTATTACATGAAATTTTTGTTTACAATACAGGTAGTTCTCACTAACTGACCACTTGTTCAGCAACTATTCAGTTACAATGGCCCTGAAAAAATAAGACTTATGACTGGTCCTTGAAGTTGCAGTGTCCCCATAGTTACATGATTGCAATTTGACAACCCACATATATTTACTATGGTTGCAGTGTCCTACAGTTGCGTGATCACCATTTGCAATGTTCCCTGATGGCTTTTAACAAAGAAAGTCAGTGAGAAAACCAGTAGAAAGTCACAAGTCACAGTTGTGTGACATCATACTTAATGACCCACACTTATTTGTTTAATAACCACATGACTGGTATTGAAGTCATAAGTCAGGGCTGCCACATGACATCATGGTTAACAATCACACCGTTTAGTGACAGAGTTGCTGGTCCCCATTGCAGTCAATAAGTGAGGATTATCTATACTGGATGGTTTCAGTTAACACTATTCAGTAATGTTCAACCATTTGATGGCATAGAATTTAATTTGACATTTGCAACTAATAATTTAACTGGATGTCACTCAAATGGAAACATATTACATGTGAATCTGAATTCCATTTAATACAAGTAGTATTAGTGTAGTCCATTGTGTACAGATTCAAAATATTCTAACATTATGATTTCTTGTTTTACAGGTAAAACTCACTGCTGCATGTAAGTACTATGCTGTTATATATCTCACTTTCAGTATTATGCTTAAAGGTTTTCCCAGAATCAACACTGATGATTCTTATTTGTATAAATACTTAAAACCACATACTTCTATAAGGAATCTAGGAAAGATTGTTGTATTTAACCTATAGTTTGAAATACATTGCTCTTCACCATAACAAGTTTATTAGATGTTGAAAGGGTCACATTATAAACTTCTTCTTATACAGAGATAAATGGTGACCAGGCTTATATAGTAAGCTAAGCTCTGATTAAGCATGTTTGTTAAAATAAACTGCAGATAGTTCTCAACTTACAACTGCAAGTGAGCCCAAAATTTATGTTTTGGGCAAGGCAGTTGTTAAGTGGGTTTTGCCCATTTTATATGTCATAAATATGTGCCAATTGCCAAGCATCTGAATATTTATCCCGTGAGCCTGGTGATACTGCAATACATATGAAAATGATCATAAGTGACTTTCCAGTGCCGTTAAAACTTCAAACAGTCACCAAATAAGTGGTTGTAAGTCGAGAACTACTGTACAGTTGATTGGGTTCACCTACACTAAATAAATCACATTTATGAATCTTGATACATTGGCTTTGTACTACCTAAACCAGTCTTTTACTATTTGAAGCAGTGGAATATCCATGAGGGTGTAGCATATCCTGTTCACCCACTCTTTGCATTATATCCTTATATCCTTTGCAAACTGTCTAATGAAAAATGCATTAACAGTCCATCAGTGCCTCCTAATCTTAACAGAAACATCCCTTGTGCAATTCATGATATCTGGAGCTTGTATAAATTGTAAACTGTTTCCCCCCACCAATTAATAAAGAATAATGTTGCACTATGTTACTAAGTTCTGGTTATTTAAAAATTTCTTTTTCTTTTTCTTTCTTTTTCTGTGTAGGTGATTCCGAATGCAGTTCCTTAAACAACCTAACAGTAACAGAAACAACAATAAGGATCCAGTTAAATAACAACTTTACAATAACAAGTGTAACTTTTCAAAATAAATCAAAGGTGGATCTTTCCGAGAATGATTCAATATCTAACCTTTATCCTGGTATTCAGTATATTGTTCATTTCAATAATCCTAATGAAAGTTGCTGCAAATATATTTTTACAAGTAAGTAATGGATTAGAAATTCCACAAAATTAGTTTTCAAGATCATTCTGATAGGATTGTCATTGTTAAATTTTAAGATGAGATAAAAAATGTATAGTGGGTGATGGAAGGAAAATCCGTCTAGTTCAGTTCCAAAGCTGGGAGAAAGAGGCTGGAAATAACACAGAGGCTGGAAAGAAAGATTCTGTGAACAGAACCACCAGGGTTTGTGGCTCTGGGGCAGCTGACCCAGAATCACGTACTATCAGACTTCCTTTGGCTATCTACGCAAAATTAAGACTTGCAAAGATACCAAATGTTATATATTGTAGCAAAGTTCATGAAGCCATTGTGAAAGAATTCCAGGAACTAGGTTTTTTTTTAAGTGCAAGCCTTATTTATAATGCAATAAAAGTTCAGATTTTTCTATCTTTTCCTCTACCAACATGTTTTAATCAGATAAGCCATTCTTTGGAGTCTTGGTACTCTCAGAGGGCACCATGGGTTCCATTGTTCAAGCCTGAGCTACACATATTGTCTCCTGGGTGGGGAGAAACAATATCTACTTGTTTGATACTAGCTTGATCTAGTATCAGGCTAGTTGCTTCTGACTGTGTGAGAAGTGATTCTCATAATTAACATTGGCCAAAGAAAGGTTTTGAATTAGCTGTTATGTTCTAGCACACAGCAAACCAGAATCCATCTACTTAAACAACTGCCCCCCACCTACCATATCTGTTGATACAACCATTCATTAACTGTTTGTGTTCTAACTTCCAAGGATTTTGGTGTGTGAACTGTAGAGTTTTTATTGTCTATCCCCTAATAGTTTGGCTCAGAAACTTCTGCTGGCAGAAGAATCTCTCATCCTCTTCCCCTTAATAGCTCTTAATTCTGAGAGATGGAAGACTCTTCCAGAAGAGGCTCCATCTCTCAGAAACAGTTAAGTGGTGATGAGTAAACCATTGGAAGACCTGAAAGACTAGCTCAATGATGGATCATCATGAAACAAATGTGTGGTTGCTAAGAGTTGATACCCATTTGATGACATATAATCAAACAAGCAATAGGGAACTGGAAGGTAAGGTGGAAAAACTGTTACAAAGTACCAACTCCCCTGTTAATCTAGTGGAATTTCCTAAACTAGATCTAAAGCTTCCTCTCTGTCACTCCAACCCATTATTAGTTTTATAGCATTTGTTAGTAAACTGGGGTAGGAATGGTAAAACTAACATTCTTTCAAGACTCATAAATCTCTTCTATTTATTCTGTTAGGTCATTGTCTGTTGCATTGTTACTCAGTGAATTTCCACCGAAAGAAATGAAAGCCAGCCTTTCTCTTGGCTCTCTCTGTTTTAGCAGTTTTCTAAATGTGATCTTAGAACTTGTTGTGAATCCATTAAAAAGGTTCTATTTGGAGCAATTGCAGTGAATTCCTTCATTTCCTGATTCTCCCACCCTCTGGAGACCGCTGTCTTGTGGTCTCCTCATGAGGAACAACTATAAGGAGAACAGCTTGGGCAATCTCAAGTCCTTTCTCTGTCCAGAGTAGTCAATCTCTTTGTAGGCTTCCTGTTTGTGGTTGCAAATATCAGCTCCATTTTCCACAGAACCATCTTCAGCCCACTATCTTCCCTGGAACTCCAGAAGCAAATAGATTTTCCATTATTAAAGAAGGGGCAGATGGAAACCTCCCTTCCATTCAACAAGATCTTGCACAGGACAAAAAATGTGCAAGAATTTAAATCTTGATTTTATAGTAAATAGGGCTTGCATTTGATACATAGTAGTTGCTGGAATTTTATGATCATTTTTCAATATGTCATGGTAACATGAGCCTCATAGATTAATTTGTTAAATTTGTTTACTACATTCTGCTTCTAAAGTCTTAATATGGATGATAAAATGGCCATGCCATTTTAAAACTGTAATAATATTAAACATCCTTTTAATTGCCATACCTTAAAATGGTACCACAGTACTAGAAACAGTGAAAAAGAAGTAACAAATAGTAATCTGGGTTAGTAATAACGTTATGATAAGATTTTAATACTCTGATCAAAGAAAATTGTTTTCTCCATTGAGCTGCTTCAAGCATCCAAAGAGTGGGAGGTGCTTAGTCTCTGCTCGGATAGGCTGGACTTAATTACTAGGACGCTGTTACTCCTCCCTGGCTCCTCCCTAGTGTCACCCAGTTTTAGCTCAGCCTTTGGTTCAATAGGCAGCTTTCCTTGGCCGGAGCAGGAACAACTTTGAGGTTTGATTAGTTTGTCAAATATACTGATTTTCTCCTAAATTTCCTCAGCAAGATCCAACTGCAATTAGAGAGAGAAGCAGTAGGAACAATCCCGGATCGCCATTGGCATTCCGGCCCCATTCGCGCCCATTAGGCAGAGGCTGGGTATCCTGCCATTCTAATTAGGCAATTGCACTAATTCAAAGGACGAGTTTCCTCCTGTGCTTCGCTCCAGCGATCCTCAGTGCCCCTTGCCATTGCATTTCCGAACGTTTTCGCGCTGTTTAAAACAAGTGCGTTTTTTCTCATACTTCGCCAGCGGCGATTCCTCCCCATGGAGAATGCAGGGTGGGGGCGTTGGAGCCCTGATTCTCCCATACCCACCGCTCAATTGCGGGAAAGCCATTTATTGAATTGGTTGGGCGACAAAGGTACTGCTGTGTTTGGCGCCCAAAATACGACTGCGCCATTTTGAACCAGGGACTGTCCGCCATTTTAGCACACATCCCCAAGGCCACAAGGGCCATTAGTACATTGCATCGTGTGGTCTTTGCTGTGTTTTTCCAGCCTACTGTTGAGAGGCTTTAATCCCCTCCAAGCTCTAGACACAGAGCCCAGGGGAAAGAAAAATTCTACTCCCTTTAGCTCCGGTTTGGGAGATTAAATCATTTGTTCTTGTTGGCTGCCCTCACAGTTTACATATAGAGAAACACAGCTTATACAGCCAGCACCAAGGTCTGGGGCCTGTGCAGAAAGCTGTTGAGAGCCTATTAATTGCAAGTGAATTATCCTATCATTCAGCATTCTCAAATCTGGCATACTTGATCTTTATCAGAATATTGAGATGTTAAATCTTTTATTCAATACATTATATATATATATATATATATATATATATATATCTTTATATAGATAATAAATAAGTTTATTAACACATTGATATTTGAAAATAATAACAGTAGTAGTAGTAGTATAAACACCTCAATTTTAGATATTTCATATCAAAAAAAGGGAGTGAGAGTTGATTGGGTTCCCTGTCCCTGTCGTGGTACAGGACCCCAGACGTGCCAATGCACGTTTTGGCATGTTCGGGTCTTTTCCCGTGTAAGATTGAGAGTATCTCGGCGAAGTTTTGACGAGGTCCCACTCGCCATCTTCAGGCTGGTGCTATCGGCTTCATGCTTGTGCAAGCAGTCCATCTAGTCCTTCGCAATTTCCTTCCTCATATTCAAATGAGAAACATCTTCATACTTACAGAAAACATCACAGCAAAAGCACATATAAACAGACAAGGGGGTACCCACTCAAAACAATTCATGTGGGAAGCAGAGAGACTGTGCCTTTGGGTGGAAAGGAACTTGGACTCCATCACAGCGGAACATATTTTCGGACTGACAAACACACAGGCAGCCTGGCTGAGCAGGGCCACAGTTGACCAATCAGAATGGCACCTGCACCCGGATCTGTTTCAGGAGACGGTTCAGAGATTTGGTCTGCTAGTTATAGATCTGTTCGCTTCTCCCCTGAACTCCCGAGATTCATTTCAAGATACCCATCCCAGGGAGCGGAGAACATCAACGCCCTCCATTGCCAATGGCCCCAGGGATTCCTCTATGCCTTCCCCTCTCTCCCGCTGATACACAAGGTGATCCAGAAGCTGCTGGACGAGAAAGCGGAACTGAACTTGGTGGCACCATACTGGCCCAGGAGGCCGTGGTTCGCGGATGTCAGGGGCCTGTCCATGGAAAATTCCACCACACAAAATTCTGCTCACCCAGGGACCGATCCAACACCCAGACTCTCAATGGCTACACCTAGCCGTTTGGAGGTTGAGTGGAGACATCTAAGAAAGGAGACTTTCTAGGCCAGGGTGATCAACACCATTCAAGCAACTTGGCGCCCTTCTACAAGCCATATATATAATGTCACATGGGCTATCTTTTGTAAATGGTGCACCAAATCCAAGGTGGACCCATTTTTGCTGTCAGTGGCACAAGTTATAGAATTTCTTCAAGATGGTCTCGACAGGAGTCTCTTTCCAAACACTTTAAGATGACAGGTGGCGGCTATTGCCTCGGTGGTGACCTGGGAAGGTCTAACATCCATCTCCCACCACCCACAGATAAAGAGTTTTCTTAGGGGCACCACAAATTTATATCTGCCAGTGATACATCGTTACCCGACTTGGGACCTTAACAAGGTACTCACAGCACTCATGAAGAGTCCATTTGAACCTCTGAAAACTACTAGACTCCATTTTCTCACATACAAGGTAGTTTTCCTCGTAGCTATAACATCAGCACGACTTATCTCAGAAATAGCAGCTTTATCGGCCCAAAAGGACCTCTGTATGTTCCATACTGACAGTGGTTCTTCGCCCAGACCCCAAATTCACACCAAAAGTTAATTCTGCCTTCCACAGGGCACAAGAACTGGTCCTCCCAAACTTTTGCCCCAGGCCTTCTCAGGGCCTAGAGCATCAATGGCACTGACTAGATGTCCGCAGAGCTCTCCGTACGTACTTACATCGAACGGCTCCTTTCAGGAAGACTGAAGCCCTTTTTGTATCTTTTTAGCCAACTACTCAGGGGCAGAAGGTCTCACCTTCAACTATAAGCAGGTGGCTGAAGGTCACGATAGCCAAGGCGTACGGGACTCAATCATTACCCGTGCCTAGAGGCATCACAGCGCATTCAACAAGATGTGCGGCAACTTCAGCGGCCTGGGCCACGCAAGCTCCTATAGCAGAAATATGTAGAGTGGCAACATGGGTCTCCCATTGTCTTTCATTAGGCATTACAAAATTGATGTATTTGCTTCTGCTGAGACCTCCTTTGGTAGGAGGGTGTTGCAATGAGTCCACTCGGACAGTGCAGGGGCTCCAACCCAGACGGAGACCCTCCCATAGGACAAGCCAAGCTTTAGTATGTCCCACTCTCTGGATGCTTAGAGCAACTCAATGGAGAAGAGGTGTTGGTACTTACCTGATACGCCCATTCTCAGTGAGCTGCGAGGAGCATCCAGCCCCACCCAATATCTGTCTGGTGGGGTCCTGTTCCGGCCAATGACTAATCTGGATATACGTGTTTTTTTTTAAATGAACAAACAAGCATGACAGTAGAGAGGGCGGGGGTTGCATCACCTCGTCTTTGCCAAAACTGGGGGATGCTAGGGAGGAGCCAGGGAGGAGTAACAGCGTCCTAGTAATTAAGCCTGGCCTATCTGAGCAGAGACTAAGCACCTCCCACTCTCTGGATGCTCGTTGCAGCTCACTGAGAACGGGCATATCAGGTAAGTACTAACGTCCCTTCTGTTTCCTAAACAGAGCCAAGTCCCGTTCATAGTATTCATGCTGAAAATATCACCAACACAACATTGAACTTAAGTTGGAAAAATGATGATAAAAATGCATCCAGTTACACTTACCAAATAGTTGTTGATGGACCTGGTGATTTTGTTATTAAAAGTTCTAATAAATGGAGTGAGCTAATCAGTAACTTGCAACCTGGAACGTCATACAGATTTAAAATATATCCAGAAGTAGATGGTGGTAAGACTAAAGGAAACCCAAATGAAACAGTTGTTCATACCAGTAAGTAAACTTATTTAAGTGAAGTTATTGTAATAATTAATGCTTATGGCTATTAAATGAGCTTCAATCATTATTATATCACTCTTCTTTATCACCATCTAAAACTAAATGTAAACTCTTTTTATGGAGGTAAGAACATAAGTATATAATTAATTTTATTAATTTCAGATGTGCTTGGATTCTTGTTAACATTTTATGCACGACATCAATATATTTTTATTTTATTTACTTCTTCTTGTGCCATATTCGTCATTGGATGTTGGCGATCTTGTTTTTATCAACAGCCGCACGAAAAAGTGCTGTTGAGTTTTGTCCAAACCAGTCCCTTAGATCAGGGCTCTCCAACCTTGGAGAGAATTCTGGGAGTTGAAGTCCGCCAGGCTTAAAGTTGCCAAGGTTGGGGACCACTGCCTTAGATTTTGAAGCCATGATCATCTTCTTCTGCCTGGACCTTGTTTGTCTTCAATCTTTTTTTGGAGGATTAAAAGTAAAAAGTAATTTTTTTTTCACAGAACCCAGTCCAGTTTCTAGGATCCATGCTAACCATCTCAATTCCACATCAATAATTCTGACTTGGAACAATGAAGATATAAATGCTCCTACCTATATTTACAAAATACTTAAGAAAGAATCTGATTTTCATAGTGATATGTTTTCTAATACTGGAAATATAACACTTAGTCATTTGCAACCTGGAACATTATATAGCTTTGAAATAGCTGCACAAATAAATGGGACCAATATTACAGGAGACACACGAAAAATAAGTCTTAATACAAGTAAGTACATTAAACTAACAATGCAATTAGCTTGACTCTTACTTGGATGTTTTTATTTTGTTTAACTTTTCCATATGTTAAATCTAGGTTACAATATTTTGTGTTTTTTGGTTAAACAAGCCCATTCCTTTCTTTCTTAAAACAAAAATACTCCATGTTTGGCATTATATTTATAAACGTCAATGCCACAAAAGTGGATTTATCTTGGAGGAGTATCTTGTGCTTCTTACTGACTTGCCACATCAGGCCTAATCCTATCATAATAAATGTGGAATCTCAGGTATTTGGGTTGAGTGAGCTTAGAATTTTCTGTATGGTTGAGAATATTGTAGCATTAGGGTAGTAGTTATTTGAAAAATTATGTTTCAACTGACAAAAAAGATATGTTCTTTCTCATCTTTCTGTTCAGTGGAAGGAAACTGAAATAAAAATGAAATAAAATCGAGGCAAATACAATTGGAGGGTGGAGGTGGAGAATAAATGGGCAAATTATTATTCCATGTCTCTTTCACAGTTTATTTTACATATGGTTTTTGAAAACCTAAATAGAGTTTTGTATCTGCCAGTCTAATTGACAATTTGGTATATTAGGATTGCATTCCTAATCCAAGATAGTTTGAAAGGAACATTTAATTGTTTTACTTAAACTGAACCCAGCTTTTGAGTCAACACCCAAAGCATTAATATTACAACATAATAAGTTCCTAATTTGTCAAATAAAATTATTAACTAGAGACATACTGTATGTTGTGTGAATTAAAAAGTTGCATTTTACATGTTGATTTTTAACCCCACAGAAAAAAATGCTAAATATTTAATCTTGATTATCATTCAGTATGTAAAAGCCTTTTTCTCTTTAATAGAGCCCAGTCCAGTATATGATATTAAAGCTGAAAATATCACTAATACATCCCTGGATTTAACATGGAAAAATAATGATACAAATTCACCAAGTTACACTTATCGAATACAGATTGATGGACCTGATCATTCTGATAATGAAACTTCTAATACTATCTATGTATCAATTATTTACTTGAAACCTGGAACATTATACAAGTTTAAAATATATGCACAACTCGATAATGAAACTGAAGGAGATCCAAATGGAATAAATGTTTATACAAGTAAGTTTATACTCCTTATCACCCATCCCCTCCCACTTGTGACTGTATGACTGTAACTTTGTCGCTTGTATCCTTACGATTTACATTGACTGTTTCCTAGATTTGATTGCTTATTGTACCCTATGACTATTACTAAGTGTTGTATGTACCTTATGATTGATTCTTGATGAATGTATCTTTTCGTTTATGTACACTGAGAGCATTTGCACCAAGACAAATTCCTTGTGTGTCCAATCACACTTGGCCAATAAAGAATTCTATTCTGTTCTGTTCTGTTCTGTTCTACTCTACTCTACTCTACTCTACTCTATGTACATTAAAATAAGAGGTGTGTAGATTTCATTATTACATAAAACATTTATATAAAATATGCAATTAGGTGTGATTTTATTTGCATGTGTCCTTATAGGTAAGAATTATACATTTCTGATAAAGAGTTGAACAAAAGAGGATACCATGTAACTCTTTCCAGCACACTATACATGGAAAAGTATAAGTACAGGTAGTTATCGACTTAACAAGAGTTCACTTAGTGAAAGTTACAACAGCACTGAAAAAAGTGACTTATGACTGTTTTTCACACTTATTGCTATTGCAGCATCCCCATTGTCACATGATCACCATTCAGACACTTGGCAACTGGTCGTATTTATGACGGTTGCCATGTCCCAGAGTCACGTGATCAGCTTTTGCTCTGACAAACGAAGTCAATGTGGAAACCAAATTCATTTAACAACCATGTTACTAACTTAGCAACTGCAGTGATTCACTTAATAACTGTGGCAAGAAAAGTTGTAAAATGAGACAAAACTCACTTAACAAATGTTTCACTTAGGAATGTAAATTTTGGGCTCCATTGCCAAGGACTACCTATATATTTTGCTACATCTAAGGTATATAATTTGCACATTACCATAGTGGAATTTGGCAATATTTGCATTCCATCATTTTTCTTGTGAAATATTTTGAGATTTGGTTTATTTGTATTGATTTATTAATTTCCTGCAAATTTGCAGGAAAAAAGTTTGATGAAAAATACAAGAATAAAAGGCCTGAAGAAATCAAAAGTTATTTTCTTTGCCCAGAAGATTAGAACAAATATGATTCTCTATTGTTGCCATTCCACACCTAGAAATTAACCTTTTTTTAAAAAAAAAAAAAAGCTCTTGTTGTGACATCACTTGCAAGAGGGCTTCTAAAATGGTCACAGTCTTTGTAGAGATACAGAATAAGCATTAGGGCATTGGGAATATAGAAATTAGTAAATATCTGGCTAATTTTTCAGTGCACGTTTTTTGGGAGGCCGAAAAACGGGTCTTCTGTAAATGCTGAAATGGACCTGTTTTTTGGCCTCCCGAGGCTGCAAAGGCTTCCCTCAAACCTCCAGGAGGGCAAAAAAGGGCCTCAAACAGGCTGAAAATCAGCTGGGAGGTGTGCACATGTGCAGTGTAGGTAAGGGAGTGGAACGGCGGTGTTGCGCATGCATGTGGGGGGGGCAGAGTGCATTGCATTGTGGGTGCCGGCACACGTGTGCTTTTGGCATACCACAATAAAAAGGTTCGCCATCACTGCCATATAGCCTGTGTGCATCTATTACATGATATATTTTCATATTCACTAATTTAAATATCTTTTCCTCATTAAACAGAGCCCAGTCCAGTTTATGATATTAAAGCTGAAAACATCACTAATACATCCCTGGATTTAACATGGAAAAATAATGATACAAATGCATCAAATTACATCTACCGAATACATATTGATGGACCTTCTTCTTTTAACGTCCTTTCTAAATTGACATATGTGCCAATTTCTAACTTGGAACCTGGAAGATTTTATAAGTTTAAAATATTTGCACAAATCAATGGCAATGAAACTGAAGGAGACCCAAATGAAACAACAGTTTATACAAGTAAGTATATTAAATTATATTTTTTTTCCTGTGCATTATTTTTAAATGTACAGTATGGAGTTAAATCAAGCAGAAAGTCTAACATGCTGAAACAAATAATATTTTAGTGCAGTATTAACATATTAACAATGCTACTTGACATGTTACTATAATAATTTGGGATTGGAAATTATTTTATTTTTCTCTCATACATATCATCATGTGTAGTGTATTTTTATGTGATGAAAGTACAAATCTACCCATTACCTTAATCTCTGAGAAAACAGTTTTTATCAGTAAACAAATAAAATAAATTAATTCAATTAAGTGATATAAGTATGTTAATATAATGTTCAAAGAGTATTCTTTACATTTGCATTATGTTTTCAAGAAAACAAGATTGAATGAGATTGACTTTGATATTTGTAAAAAAAAATTCAACAGCTGGAGCTTAAAAAATATCTAAAGTGGAAATCTGTTTTTCTTTTGTGCTTTCCACACAAAAACCAGTCATATTTCTGACTTTTTTTTAGCACAAACATTAACTTAGTTTGATGGTGATAATACTTCTCCATGACTGAATTCTTTATTGGCCAAGTGTGATTGGACACACAAGGAATAAAAATGTTTATACCTGTCAGGCACAAATACTTGGAACAGGAGTTTAGTTTAAAGTACCTCAACTTTATTCCATGCTATCTATTCACATATTTGATTTTCTGATGATCAAAACAAATAGCTAATTTCAATTATTAGCTATTATTTATTTTCTTTTCAACATATTCATTTCCAGCATTTAATTATGCCTTTTAGGTTCCAAAAGTCCAATAGTTATCCAAATTGATTTCCAAGCCTTTTTTGTGTTCAAGTATTTTCCTTTAAATTTTCGCCTTCAAATTAATCTATTAGAATAATTCAAGCCAATTTTATAAAATCCAATTCCTTCTCACTTTCTCTGGTCGCTGCTTCCCCACACTTTCCTCCAAATAGTCTTTTATTTTTTAATACCAGGTACCTTAGAGTCCATGTATTTTGCCTGGTTCACACTCCGCTTGCTTCTTCTCTGCTCCACACACAGTCTTAGTTTCCAGGACTGCTCTTCGTCTGCGTGGTGGCCATTTTAGACCACTGCTACAGCTTGCCTTTGGAAGGGGTTTTTCCTGTCAGGGAGGGGAGTTGCGGCTCCCTTCAACCCCCCAGGTGATTCCCCTTTTCTTCACCACCCCTTCAGGGTGGTTCTGGTCTCAGTCAGGACCCTCCAGCAAGTTGGCTCAAGCGAAACCGCGCACGATCGTGGATTCCGCTCTGATGACGAGCAAACTGGAGGTCTCGATATTTATTCAACATTTGTGCATCTAAGGCCTTTTTTTTCTTTTAAACAGGACCCAGTCCAGTGTATGATATTGAATTTGCAAATGTCACCACCACAACTCTGGAGATAAAGTGGAAAGATAATGATACAAATGCATCTAATTATACTTATCAAATATACATTAGTGGAACTAATTATTTTGAGAATAAAACTTCTAACACTCCGTATATGCATGTTGATGGCTTGGAACCAGGAACATTATATGTGTTTGAAATATATGCAGAAATTGATGGCAATAAGGGAGATCCAAAGGATGCAAGTGTTTATACAAGTAAGTGTATTTAAATGATGTGACTGTACAGGAAGTCCTCAACTTACAACAGTTCACTTAGTGACCGTTCAAAGTTACAATGGCTTTGAAAAAAGTGACTTATGACCATTTTTCACACTTACGACTGTTGCAGCATCCCCATGGTCATGTGATCAAAATTCAGGCGCTTGGCAGCTGACTCAGATGGTTGCACTGTCTCAGGGTCGTGTGATTACTTTTTTGCGACCTGACAAGCAAAGTCAGTGGGGAAAACAGATTCACTTAACAACCATGTTACTAATGTAAGAACTGCAGTGATTCACTTAACAGCTGTGGCATGAAAAATCATAAAATAGGGCAAAATTCACTTAACAAATTTCTCACTTAGCAACATAAATTTTGGGCTCAATTGTGATCATAAGTTGAGGAATATTTGTACTAATGCACAGAATTCGCAGGTATCCTCAGTTTTAAAAAGTGTACAAAAGTGTATCACATTGTCACATTATGTTCCTATTGAAAGTGGAAAATGTTGGCCCTCTATATATTGGAGCTAAAGGAGCATAAAAACCCAAAGAGATAAATGAATAAGAGATAGTGCATCTAAATTAGAGTATATATTTGGAAAACTGTACAAATGTGACTAGTTGTATTTTTCAAAAGCACTACTACAGGTAGTTGTTAACTTACAACTATAATGGAACACAAAATTTCTGTTGTGAGACATTTGTTAAGTTTTGACCTAATTTATGACCTTTCTTGCCACAGTTGTTAAGTGAATCACTACAGTTGATAAGTTAGTAATCTGGTGGTTAACTGAATCTGTCTTCCCCATTGACTTTGCTTGTTAGAAGGTCACAAAAGGTGATTTTATGACGCTGGGACACTGCAATCATCATAAATAGGAGTCAGCTGCTAAACATCTGAATTTTTATCACATGCCCATGGGGATGCTGCAAAGGTTGTAACTGAAAAACCGGTCATAAGTCACTTTTTTCAGTGCTGTTACAACTTTTAATGGTCACTAAATGAACTGTTGTAAGCCGAGGACTACCCCCATTTGTTTTATACATCTCTTTTCCAGAGATATGCTCTATTTAGAGGAATTAATTATATTTGGCAAGAATTTTTATGCTACAGTCACTTCCTCCCCCACATTTCTATATAGGGCTTATGGCCGTTTCAAATTCTTCCATGAGGTATCTAGCTAGGATTTGAATTTTAGGCCCTATTCAAATAGCAACATTTGCCACAAAACCTCATTTGACCATCTCTGTAGCGTATATGTAGAAAAGAAACACCCAGACACATACAAACATACATTTTACTACGTATATCCTGAAATTTTATTTCAGACAGAGCCAAACGAAAGTATTAATACTAAAAGTTTAGCAAATTTCACTTGTGTTTTAAATCTTCACATGTGGAATATATTGAAATAATATTTTTCATTTATATGTATGTTTCTCTCGTTAACAGATATAGTTGAACTGTGGTTGAGAATCTGAGTTTTGTTACTGTTTTCACAAGTGATTCTGCTTTGTTCACATATTTAGATATATTGTATCATATATCATATATTACTGATCTTACAGTATATGGGAAAATATTCTGATAGTCCCAAAGAAATGTCCTTTTTGATCTTTCTGTTCATTGCCAATAAATCGAGGCATAATTGGCTGGTATGACAGAGAGTATTGTTGTGTATAAAATCCCATGCCTCTTTTTCATGTATCTTTCTCCTGTGTATTCCTATGTATTTTGTTTGAAAACTCACACATTTGTGTCTATATCTTTGTTGCATTCACTGTCCATGATAGTAGCAAAATATTTAATCATTTCAGCATCTAAAATAATGCCTTTTTTTCTTAAACAGAGCCCAGTCCAGTTTATGATATTAAAGCTGAAAACATCACTAATACATCCCTGGATTTAACATGGAAAAATAATGATACAAATGCATCAAATTATACCTACCGAATACATATGGATGGACCTTCTTCTTTTAACGTCCTTTCTAAATTGACATATGTGCCAATTTCTAACTTGGAACCTGGAAGATTATATAAGTTTAAAATATTTGCACAAATCAATGGCAATGAAACTGAAGGAGACCCAAATGAAACAACAGTTTATACAAGTAAGTATATTAAATTATATTTTTTTCCTGTGCATTATTTTTAAATGTACAGTATGGAGTTAAATCAAGCAGAAAGTCTAACATGCTGAAACAAATAATATTTTAGTGCAGTATTAACATATCATTAGCAATGCTACTTGACATGTTACTATAATAATTTGGGATTGGAAATTATTTTATTTTTCTCTCATACATATCATCATGTGTAGTGTATTTTTATGTGATGAAAGTACAAATCTACCCATTACCTTAATCTCTCAGAAAACAGTTTATATCAGTAAACAAATAAATAAAATAAATTAATTCAATTAAGTGATATAAGTATGTTAATATAATGTTCAAAGAGTATTTTTTTACATTTGCACTATGTTTTCAAGAAAACAAGATTGAATGAGATTGACTTTGATATTTGTAAAAAAATTTCAACAGCTGGAGCTTAAAAAATATTTTTTGCTCTAAAGTGGAAATCTGTTTTTCTTTTGTGCTTTCCACACAAAAACCACTCATATTTCTGACTTTTTTCAGCACAAACATTAGCTTAGTTTGATGGTGATAATACTTCTCCATTAAGTATTCTGCTTATAAAAAATGTTTAAACAAAATTCGTACCTTTCAGGCACAAATACTTGGAACAGGAGTTTAGTTCAAAGTACCTCAACTTTATTCCATGCTATCGATACATGTATTTGATCTTCTGATGGCATTAGATAGGAATCAATGGGATTCAAGGAGGATTTAGATCTTTCGTGGGAATGGAGTGACTCTAAAACTAATGATGCGTTTGACAGGATTCAACCTGGTCACCTCCTACATCAGCATCAGAATTTAAGAAAATGGTTATTAGAATTCTTGAGCCAGACCTCTTCTATATATTAGTGCTTTTCATTGTCACAATATGAGTCACCTTACACAGCCTTTATATTTGCAGACACTAAAACATTTACTGCATTGTGAATAATGAACCAGTAATCAGTGTAGTAATCATACAGCTGATAGTTTGACAAATTAAAATAATCTCTTGTTGCTTCCCAGAGTCTATGAGTATGAATCTGGCGAATCTTGCCCAAAATGAAAGAGGCAGGAATTGAAACTACATTTCCCAGAAGGCAATCAATTTTGCCACTGACAAATCTGTTTTTATACAGCCTGCTTTCGTGTGGATACAATTACATTTGAAACTGTTCAGCTCGTACAAATGATACAAAACATGTTTTAAATACTTAATTTACTTTAGCTCTTCCCAGCTCCCAAAATCTCATGATTTGTTTCAGGCATTATTTTCAGTGTTATTACATGAGAATGCTGACATTTTGAAAGAATCTTGATCTACATTTTTAAAAAATTAATTTAAGAGTGGGTCTGATTGCCATCTCTGGTGGGGGGGGCGGTGAGTTAGCCATCTTGTGTTCTAGACTACTACTTTAATAAGCCATTCCTTTTACCTGGAAGAAAAAGTGGACTTGATATTAGTACAGAATAAAAATTTGAATTGGTTGTGATTAAGGTGAGAATGAAGGTTCATTCTCTGAGCTTCTGGGTTGGTTTCCAATGTTTTGTTACCAGGCTAAGTAGCTTCTTCAGTGGAATTTAGGGGATGTCAGTGTCGGTTTTCTTCTGTTTACAAAGGCTTCAGGTGTGGGTGTTTCAAGTGAGGGTCTTGTGATGGGTCAGGTGTGAGTCACCAGGAAGAGTCTTGTGATGGGTTTTGTGATGAGGTTACATCAGGTCAGGGTCATTGGGAGGTAAACTGGTGGGGGGTTGCATGGGTTGTTTGAGGGTGGGTGCTGTCTCGTATTGGCTATGCATTTTGGATTCTGACAGGTTCATAGCCTGGTTGTAGGTCAATGTGTCCATTGATGGACTTGCTTGTTGAGTGCCAGGCTTCGATGAACTCACAAATGTGGTAGGAGGTAGCGTGGCTGATGATTTTTGTATTCTGTAAATGAATTGGTGCTGTTTGGTGTTGGTGTGAGTAAGGATTTTGAATCATGGCGTTTGACTGTTAGCCGGTGTTCGTGGATCCTGGTGTGATATGATGTTTGTCCCATGTAGAATTGGTTGCAATGGTTACAGTTGATTTTGTAAATTACATTGTTTCCTTTATCCTCCTGTATTTTGATTAAGGTATATTGTTTTAATGAATAATAAGCTAGATGAAGATAATGATTATGACAACAGTGGCATCGGTGCCCTGGGAGCATGTAAGTTTATGTATGTATTCAAATACTTTTTTTCCTTTACAGAACCTAGCTCAGTCTTCAACATCATAGTTGAAGATGTCAGTACAACCATGGTCAACATATCATGGGAAAGTCCTGATGCAGCTCGTTCTACATACTCTTATAGGATACTGATCAATGGATCATCTGATACAATATCCCCAACTACTAGCAGTGCAATTTCAGACCTAAATCCTGGTACTAATTATCAATTCAGCATATATTCCATAGCAGCAGATAACAAGACTGAAGGGACACCCAAGAACAAAAATCATTGTACAGGTAACTCTCTGGAGATGTACATACTAAAGATGTGCAGATTGCTCTGTGCACAGAATAAACATTTTCATATGATTTGTACACGAATGGAAATCTTTGTGCTGGATATATCTGAAAACTGGGTTGATTTTATTTATTTTATTCAGTGTAACAAAAGCCACTCTAGATGGGGAACAGATTAAGAATTTTGGTCCAGAATTTAAATAAAAAATAACAATACACAACAAAGTGTAAAAAGGGTGGCAAGAAGCATAGTAATAACCCATAGCTTCACCTAACTTCCTAATCTGTTTTGAAATACCAACTGTGTGGAGAACAATCTAATTTTAGGGAGAATAGTATTCTGAGGGCAAGTGCAATAGAAAAAAAGGATGGTTTACTTTGAACATAATCCAAAAAGAATGTATTCTGGAGTGGACAAAAATAGTATTCAGATATGTTGTTCTGTTTCAACTAGATGCTACTTTAAGCCTAGCAATTGGATGTAAAGCCCTATTACTTCTTGATTTCCCCATCTGGGCTAGTACAACAACTAAATATTAGGAAGATAATTTTAAGAGATATTGGTCAGTGCCACCAAGTCCCACAATTCCTCTTATTTGATTCCTTGATAACACATAAAATATTTACTCTAGAGATGCACTTTTGTGAGATGTCCACTTTGCAGACGAGCTTTTCCTGGGGGTTGAATACAAAAAAAGACATTATGTTCTGTCAGCTCTTGTACCACTAGGAGTCTCTGTCATTTCCATTATACATGGAGGGGCCCTTATTGGCTCCAGTTACTGGCTAGCTAAAACATTAAATTTGTGTATTGATATAGCAAACAACGTGGTTACCAAATTATTCTATTTTCCTGGGATGATGATATATCTATATTATCTCTCACAAAACAGTCTGTTGTCCTATACCATGCTAAACTACTACCAAAATAAAATCTAAACAAGGATAAAACCAACAAAGCCTACCATATTGTATATCTGACTATGACCTGATTGAATGTGTTGAGTGAACCCAGCCAATATCTACCCAGGATTTTCTTGAAATCAGAAAACTCAGGATAAATAGAAGTCTAAAGATTATGAGATAATAATAGAAGATTGGAAAACAGATTACAGCAAATAGGAGCTTGGTTTTTTTCCAATGAACCGATCCTTATACTGCATAAATGTAATTCTGAATCTTTTCAAGGTCATAGGGAATGTTTCCTCAAATGTTTTTAAATCTGTGACAATGAGAATGTTGCTAGTAGTGGAAAACTGTTCAGTCTCCTCAGAAATAAATGCCGGTGAATCAAATAAAGCTTATTCCATAGAACTTGTTAATAGAATAGCCTAAATTAATTCACTGGATAGATAAAATTTATTTTAGTTGAGTAGTGCGGTGGCCTATAGGTGGAGCTCTCGCCTCACAATCAGGAGGCTGTGAGTTCGATCCTAGGTGGAGGTAGATATTTCTCTGGGCATGAGGAGAATATATCTGCTGAACAAAACTCCACATTGGTGACAGGAAAGGCATCTGGCCAGTAAAACTCAGCTCCTTTCAGTTGGTCAGACTCCACCCAGCAACGAATTATGGGGTCATTAAAAGGAGATGATGATGAAGTTTATTTTAGTTCAATATTTTTTTCCTTGTACAATAATAACCCATATTTATGTTGATATGTTTTTTTCTCTTAATACCCCAGTTGCATTTCTGGGATGAATAACTGAAAAAGAAATAGATAACTAAGAAGTTGTTTTTCTTTGCTCCATGCTGCTGCACTTTTTATTCAAATTTGTCAACTTATTTAAATAGCAAATGGACAACCGTAGATGTTCTCTTTAATTGTAGATCCAGCATCAGTGGATAGATTTGATTGCAATCTGGTAGAAAAACAGCCACAATTAAGTCTAGACTGGAGTATTCCAAATGGAAGTTATGAAGGCTTCAGAATTGAGATCCTAAACAATCAGAACAAGATTTTGGAGAAAAAAAATCAAACCATTGTGACAGACCTGGATTACTTTACCACTTACACCATTACAATTGTCACCCTTTCATGTAAGAAAACAAGTATTCCTCAGGAAAAAAAATGCCGCACAAGTATCACAGGTAAGCATAAAGCTACCTTGTAATTGACTTATTTAATGAATAAAAATGACACAGCTGTTGGATGCTTATATGTATTTTTACATGAGAAATGTACTTATATGAAAACCTCTGTGATTCTTCCCTTTTTCTCCCTGGTACCCCTCAAAATCTTTATAAATTTCTTAATAAATTATTGGAGCAGATCTGTCAGAGAACATATCTTAAATAAAATGGCACTTTTGCTCCTTTTTATATATTGGTTGTATGTGTATTTTTAGATATACAGAGGGGAGTCATTTTCTTATTAATAAGTGATATATATGTGGCCACTTAGTGTTGACACCAACTTGATGGCACATAATCAGTCTGATTATGGCAATATATTTATATCTCCATATCCTGAGGTGAATTATCTAATTGGAATATACATATGTGTGTATTACAAAGTTACTAGTTCATATGAGGAGATGCTAGTCCATACAGGAACATGGAGGCAGTTGTGAGCAATTTTCAAAACATCCCCTTAAATCCCATTCTGCAGTTCAGCTTGGAACAAAAGGGGGAGGGGCGTGGTGTCCCATGTGATTAGGATGCTGAATCAAAAGACTGTTGATAGGTCGACAGATCAGCAGTTCAAAACTGAGAGCAAGCCGTGTGACAGAATGAGCTCCCGTCCTTGCCCACAACTCCTTGTCTATCTAGCAGTTTGAAAGCATGCAAATAAAAGTAGAATAGTAGATGAAAAACAAATGGGAAAATAACTGGGACATGAAAGGAGCCCTCCTCAGGTGTCCCCTGGGCAACAGTGATGCCACCAGCTAATCCTTTCAACCTGGAAGTGCCTTGGTTGGTGCTTTGAACACAAATCTAGTAGCAGTACTTAGAGCATGGGGTCATAATTTTGCATGATGTGCTGAGGGCTGTTGCTTTATGAATGAATCTCTGGGCAGTGGTGGTTTGGCACAGTGGTGTTTTTTTTCTTATCATACCTTCCATATCCTGATATGATTACTTTTTCTTCTCCAGATCCCCCACCTTTGATCATATCCCCTGTTGTCAAGGCAACCAGCCACAACTCTTTCAGTGTTCAGTTCAACAGTTTTAATTCAAGTCATGGACCTATAACAGCATATGCAGTAATTATTACCACCTCAGAAGGTAAAGTACGATATCCCTAGGATAATTATTTTTAATATTTTTTTTCTATTCATCTAAAAATGTTTTATCTTTGTGTCGTGAATATTTACTATACACATGAGGGCTCTTTTATTTAAAAAAAAAATGAAGCCAAAGTCAGTCAAAGCTAAATGAGTAAAACTGCTGCCCAAACTGCTGCCTACATCATCGATCATCTGCGATCGTCAAATTCCAAATCGGAGGTCCTGATCTCAGAACGGAGCCCTGCTAATTCACTCAGTAGCCTAATTTCTAAGATCGCTGACCAAAGACAAGGGGATCTGTGAGAAGACAGACCTAATCCCTAAGATCGCTAGCTGAAGATCTGAAGTAACGAGTGAAGATTAACCTTCTGCCAAAAAACTTTCATAGTTACCTTCAGCCTAATATATGCCTGAAGACAAGAAGATCCGTGTGAAGACAGATCTGGTTCCCAAAAATCACTAACTGAAGATCTGAAGAAATGAGTAAAGAGTAACCTTCTGCCAAAAGACTTTCATCTATACTTCTAACCTAATATATGCCCTCTTCCTATACCCCCCAGGACCATCCAAACTAAATCTTCTCCACTTCCTCCCATTATTCTCTTCCTGCCCTAATTTTTCCCAATATAACTCTGTTTAATTGATTAACTGATCTTACTAAATGATTAATTAATTTTTACAATTATTTATCATTAGTGAGTAATATATTATTATAGATTATCATAGACTAGTGGTTACTGATTAGTTTGGTTAACTATTTTGAATAATAGTATGATTAGTATGTTTAGTGCAAATTAATGATTAGGACAATTGACTAGTGTGTTTTTTGATTAGTGTAATTAATTATTAGGGTGATTATTGATTAGTGTAATTAATTGACTAATGTGAATAGTATAATAGACTGTTTGGCACAGTATTACTTTATTGATTACCACAATACCTTGTTTGATTGAACAACCTAATCAACAAACCATCTCAACAAACCCACCATGCCAGTTCGAAACATCTTCAGAGAAAATCAGACATGATATTTTTCTGATTAAAATCGGAATTCCGATTTTTTGGGGAATCGCCCGGGCGGTGCGAGCGGAGCCTGGGCGGGGCGGGCGGTGCGAGCGGCGGGCGGGGCGGGCGGCGGGTGGGGCGGGCGGG